GCAGTTCCACTGTAGCACAGTGATCATATCTTCAACCTCGTTCGACGAATTATCCATCGAAAGATATGATTGATGCAAGGAGGGGCCATGAAACAGTCAATTGCTTAAGATATGATTCTAACGTTGGAAGCAAGGCAGAAACTAAGCTTCTTAGAGGGTCTTGTATGTTGAACATATTTAATATGAATTCCACAATGTCCGAAAATGCTAGCAAACCTCGTTCGGACTTGGATTTCTTTTGAGAAGTTTGAGGAGCAGCTTTATTATTTTTCTTATCTTTTTTGGGCAATGGTGGAAAATTCCTGCTGCATCCAGGGATTGGTTCAGCAGGAGCCTTCGGTTTCGTTTTTTCATCCTCATTACCCTGGGAATTTGCCAATCTTCTGGAGGTGACTTTTGTTTTCTTACGGCGCACTTTCGGGGAGGGGCATTTTCTTTTTGAGGATCCGTCCATTTTTGAAGGTGCGTGTACCACCGTAGAATCACCTTCATCGGATGAGTCAGAGTCCGATTCTTCAGCTGACAAAATCGAAAATTGGTTTGCATCTTGGACGGCTGATGCAGCCTTCAACATTTGAGCATATGTCTGCTTGGAGCGTCCTGAGATTGAACGCTGCACTTTATCGGAGTGCTGCTTGTACATCGGGCACTCCTGCAAGGGGTGAGGATTCTCGCCACAGTACGCGCATTTTACTGATTCTTTGTGGCAAGAATCCTCTTTGTGGTTTTCACCACATTTGCCACAACGAGTTTTGTTGCCGCAATGGCTGGCCGAGTGTCCTAGCCTTTTGCAGTTGGTACAGTTATAAACCCTCTGTACAAACAACCGCACCGGAAAAAAAGCACCATCAACTTTGACAAAGTTTGGGAGAACTGAACCAGCGAAAGTCACCCGAAACGAGTCTGAATGCTGATAGACTTTCTTGCCATCTTGTAAAGACACTGAATGCAGTTGCCTAACATCCAGTATCTTTACAAGCTCGCTTGTGACTTTTCTGTTTTTAAAACAACCCGAGGCACGTTTCAAGTCCTCGACAGACAGACTCGCGTCGGAGACCACGCCTTCTATCTCCACATCTCGAGAAGGGATGTAGATGTTGTACTCAACACTAAACAACTCGTGATCAGCAATTTTATTTGCTACATCATAATTCGGTGCTTCTACACGCAGTTTGTTGAATCTCTCCTTATGTACCAAGATTCCCGGATACTTACGCAGCAAGTCGCTCGAAATATCGAGAGTTTTCAAGGGTTTATTTTTAGGCCGAAAAAAGACAACCCATGGTCCTTTCGAAAGTGGTTGGTAATACCTGGTTCGCGCAACGTTGGCATCGGAAGATGCCATAAGTGTTGCGCAAAAGCGGTGCGCAACCGCTTAAGAAGGAGAAAAAAAAATAAAAACCTTCTCCAATTTATTAATTTTAATTACTAGTAATTAATTTTTTTGCACGGCGTACAAGCAAATTAAAGCGAAAAAAAAATCGAAAAAAAAACTTTTATCTAGTTGCAACAAGTTGTCTCACTATGAACCATACTCCCTTACCAGGGGTGAGAGACAGAACCACGCGCCACGAGGCAAAACAAAACTACAATAGAGTTCTCTACCACCGTTAGTATTAGTGAGAAGTTTCACTAATACATGCATTTTACTGGTTGAAAATAAAAAACAAACCACTGTCAAGTCGAACAGTTTGACAGCTGATTTTGTGGTTGAAAATAATAAACAAATCGATTTTACACGACTAAGCTCACTAGGTTGTATTAGTGAGATCTTACGTCGAGAAGTCAATAGGGAGGCAATGGACTTGCAAAATGTATTGTACTATACTTATGCCGGTTGTGTAAACAACCTATCAGCCGGTGCAGCTAGGTATTCCGTTTGCTGCTGCTACGCTGCGGCTATTGACGGAGATGATGCGATGATGATGGTGATGATTTGATGATGATCGATCACTGGGGTAAAGGTGAACAGTCTATACGTAAGACTCAGCTTACGATAGCTGCTTCCGAAAACCGTGCGCGATTCACCTGAACACTTTTTTTCAACAACGATAGCGATGGAAACGCGGTAAAAAACGAGTGTCGTATGAAGAGACCAGGACGCTGTTAACTGGCTCAGCGCTCGATACGGAATGATAAATTGACCTTACCGATAATGGTTATAAATTGTTTATAATCCCTCCTTAACTTTAACTGAAATGGTTTTGGAACCTTACATGAACGTTTGTGTGATAAAGTTTTAACCTTATGTATTATGGTTTTTAGGAAGCGGACCTTACAAATAATGGGTTGTTAAGAACCATTACCATTTCAAATTCTTGTTTTCTCCATACATTTTCGGAAAGAGAACTATATTAGAACGGTGGAGGCGAACCAGCCCAAGGCTGAAAGCCTCCATAATAAAGCTAAATAATAATAATAATAAGATTAGAACGTTTTTACTTATGGTTTGAGAACATTAATGATTATGGTTATGGTAGTCAGTAAGGCCCATGAATGGTTTTGTAACATCGATCAACTTTATGTGGAATATATCGCGAATTGGTTGCCTGTAAATTAATAATTATCAGTTCGCGATATATTCCACGTAAAGTTTAGCGATAATACAAAACGATTAATGGACCTTACTGACTACCATAACCATAATCATTAATGTTCTCAAACCATAAGTAAAAACGTTCTAATATAGTTCTCTTTCCAAAAATGTATGGAGAAAACAAGAATTTGGAATGGTAATGGTTCTTAACGACCCATTATTTGTAAGGTCCGCTTCCTAAAAACCATAATACATAAGGTTAAAACTTTATCACACAAACGTTCATGTAAGGTTCCAAAACCATTTCAGTTAAAGTTTAGGAGGGATTATAAACAATTTATAACCATTATCGGTAAGGTCAAGTGATGGTTTGCGTTTATGCGGGAGATCTGGGGGGTAACAACATGTAGGAAATTATCAGGGCGTATGATGTTTTCTTCTCAATTTCACAACAAAGAAACCTTTTTTTGAGTTTTTAGTGATGCATGATGATAGATTACACTATCAACTATATGTCAAGCTTATAAAATCATCCAGAAAATGGAAAGACGTGAAATAGGATTAATTTTTAGGTCATCAAAATTCAGAAGCGATTTTCTCGATATGGTTATTTTGGAGTTCCGCCCTTTTCAAATGTTAGTCTAGATTTCCTCTATTTGATGGTTCTGTTGGTTTGCGTCGGCGTGCCTTGAATTCCTAGAAATCATCGAGAGAAGTCATTGTTTACAAAAGTTGTTACGCCCTAATTCCAGCCTTATCTAGAATTTTATGTGTTTCCAAAAACGAACCATGTAGCCAAATTCGGAACATGCCAAAATTGATAATGTTACCCTTAAGGCCGGGCGCCCACTTTTGTGGCACCTGCTAGCATGTCAAAACATCATGTCGACGTGCACCACACGACTTCAACATGATATTTTCACATGTTGTATGATGTCACATTAGTGGGTTCCCGGCCTAATGATATGATAATCTCGACATTCTATTAGTCTTACCGAAACCAAATTTCTACATTTGCTCGGTAGATCTCATCAAAAATTTCGTTGGTGGCACACACACACAGGATTGCGGGTCCCGGTACCAGCTTGCAAAACCCATTCCTGAAAAAAATTACTGTTCAATTTATCTAGTCAAGTCAAATGATCAACTCAGTTGAATTCAACTGACTTGAACGCGAATTGAACGTGTAAACCATGCCATTCAACTGACTTGATCAACTCACTTGAATTAAAAAAAGTTGAACCAGGCTCAACTTTTCAAGCCAATTGAATTCAACTGACCTGATCAATTGACTTGCCTAGTCTAAACCCAGCTTAACCGTTTTGTACGGGTTCATTCCGCTCTCGGCATCTTCCTCTAAATTTGCTCTACACTCAAAAAATTTCACACGTTTGATCGAAGTGTTTAAACACTTGATTTTTTAAATGCAAAATCACATTTACTTTAAGTGTATTTCACCTTGGTTCGATGTGTTATACACGTTAATTTAGAGTGTTTCAAACTTTGAAATGTTGAAAAATTTTCACTTTCTATTCAAGTGTATTGAACATTGAATCACGCTACTGTTCAAAACAGATGGATTTAAAGTGTTTTGCATTTCAATACGATGTGAATTGCTTGCTCAGAAAGGTAAACATCGAAAACAAGAGTTGTGACTTTATCCTATTAACCCCCCTAATAAAAATTTTATGGTTAATTTGCTTAACGACGTGTTCTGGGTATCATCCAAACCATTTGTGGAATAGTTCAATGATTTGGGTTATCGTTCGTTTATGGTTATTTTTGATTAGGGCCGCCTCATATATGAGAACAACCCTGGCACAGTGAGATAGAACGAAGACTCCGGCAGCAGCACACCCCAACAGTCCATGATCGAATCCCAAATCAGACCCATTATAAAGATATGTGAAAGCTCTGGCCTCTGGCAGTTTTGATTATATATTTGTCGTTTCAATTTTTAGAGTCGGTAAAGTAATAAATAAATAAATATTGTAGAATATTGAACTATGGTGTGCAAAGCTATTGATATCACCATATGAGACACATAGAATCCAAGTGTGTCACAATTCAAATCCATAGTGTTCAGGCATGGTTCATAGCATAAGATTCACACATGAAATGGATGTGTTTCACAATAAGCGCAAAATTAAGTGTGAGACACATGATGATGGCGTGTGGAATTTTTTGAGTGTATGAAGTGTACTTTGCTAGGAGTAAGTCATTCAACTTCGTAGCATTATTCTACTCACTCGCAGGAACGAGATTCTCTTTCAAAGAAACCTGCGTTTCTGGAATATGGTTGAATTTGAACGGGCTGATGTTCCAACAATTACCTGCTGTTGCAATCTTTATAAAGCTCACCGCTGATATAATTTCGAAAAAAGTTACCAACTTCATCTTTATGAAATAAAACAATATTTTTATTCGAAAAAAAAAAGAATACCAGCAACTTACACCCTAACAAAGATCATTCCCAGCATTAAATTTGTACTTCCTCCAGGAACTGACTGGACCAGTCTCACTGCGTTCCGGTGGATCCGAAACCACCACTGCCTCGTTCGGTGTCCATCAAGCTGCTTACCTCTTCCAGCTCCGGATAGAAGATCCTCTCACAGATGAACTGCGCGATACGATCCCCCCGGGCCACCTTGAATTCCGTGTCGGAATGGTTGAACAGCACCACACCGAGATTGCCTCGGTAGTCCTCGTCAACCACACCGGCACCGACGTCGATGAAGTTCTTCACTGCCAAACCGGACCGAGGTGCAACACGACCGTAGCAACCCTCCGGAAGTTGGACCTGGATATCGGTCTTTATCAGCTGTTTGCCTCGGGCCGGAACCGTGTACTCGTATGCACTGAAAAGAACAATTTGGGCCACTAGAGGAGCTGCATGAAGAAAATATTGCCGAAAGAACCTTACCTCTTTAGATCAAATCCCGCCGCTTTGGCGGATCCTTTGGTTGGTACAAAGGCTTGATCCGTAATCTTGGCAAAACGGAGGACACACTTCGGTTCCGGCTTCATTGTATTGGAGGAAATACGGTAGATGTTTAGAGGCAAGCTTGCGTAAAGTTAGTGATTGGGATAAATTTGTGGCGCCTTCAGTTCAGGAAGACCAGCAACACAAGAGAGCAAGCAAGAGAGCCGAGAAGAGCGACAGCCAATCGAAAGCAAAAGATTTGGCGCGCAAGTGCATTTCAAAACGATTCGCTGACAAGAAAATTATGAATTGTCGAATAATTTCAAAACCATTTTTAACAACGCAGTGTGCCTGTTGCTGACTATACAGTACAGCAAAAAAAAATGTAATATCGATCAATGCTGATGTACACTCAAAAAATATTGAAATCTAAATAGTATAAAAGTTACGCTAAATAGCCACTCTCCGTACCGACGCAAAGGTCGGTATAAAGGGAGAGAATGCAAAATTACACGGAACCAAATTTTGTTCATTTAAGTTAAAAATATATATGTTTATTAAATAAAAATATGCATAGTTCAAAGTAAATTAAAAACTTGTTTTCAACAAAAATATGTTTGTTTAAAATAAATTCAAAAGCATGTTTATTTCAACAATACATAATCTGGGAAATCAATTTTTAGCGTGTCCTTTTTTCCTTCTTGTTTATATTCGGCAAACTTAACCGAAAACGGCCTGCAAGCGGCGAAACCGAAGTAGAGGGTCCAGAAACCCACGGAAGCAAATGTTCCAAGCTCGACAAAACCGGTGGAACATCACAATATTAACGTCAATCCGTCGTTTCTGATACCGATCCCCATATCATCCTCACCCCCCACCCGACGTCGAAAGAAAAACAGATCATCCCCGAACAGCGTCAGAAACAACAAAATGACGCTAATATCACAAAGTTTCACCAGTTTTACTGAACTGGATCGGATCGGACACCCACCCCGACGGCCTCTCGGATCCAAACATCCACAGACTTTTCATAATCGCAGGAATTTCCGAGGGAATTTCCATTAATTTGCTATCCATTTTATTTTGATTTATTCAGCATTCAAATGCTAAAATAATTTCAAAACATGTTTGTTTATTTTAAACATGAAAAACATATTTAAAATAAACATATTAATTTTTGATTGCATATAGGTTTCAAATAAATCAAAAATATTCACGTTTATTTTCAACACGAATATTTTTAAAATAAACGTAACATTATTTTTGTTTTAAACATTATTATCAATGGATTCAAACGTAGAATACGTTTGAAATCAACCTAATTTATGTTTGTGGCCAGAACAAACTGAGTTTACGTTTAAATTTACCTCATATATTTTTGTTTCGACGGTAAATTTTTCTGCGTGTAGTATAAAAATGGTTTATGCGTGCCATAGTATAAAATCGAAATATACTCACAATGCATATATACGGTTTATTTAAGAGAATTTATTTTTCGCTTCTTTATTTCATTTATGGTAAATATTATTGTTTTCATATGAAAATAAAAATTGTCTCAGGAAGCTTTTTTCATTAGTTTATTTTTATTAATATTATTCAAAAAAAAAAATACTTACAATTTCGATGCTGCCCAGCAGATTACAGGCGCAGTATAAATCCGCTGGGTCAAAGCCCTTCACCAGCACGAAGCTCCGAAGGGAATCCAGATGTTCTTATTCCTGTCATATTAGTAAACACTGATCGAATTCCACTCCGTTATTCGAACTTAGTATAATTTTGACGAAAATTTTAATCTAACCAATGTATAAATTTTGAAAAACCATAAAATGCATAAAATTTAACCTATATTCGTTTTGTAATATTTTTGAGTGTTTGAAATAGAGCTTTTTGACGTTTAACGGTGCACATTACTGCACCATTTAATCGAACGAGTGCGAGCAAGAGGGAAACAGATTAGTGGGAAAACAAACCGTTCATTCTTCCATGTGTGCTAGATAGAGAAAGACGATTAAACGTCAAAAAGGTCTATAATGATGTAATAGCAAAAAGCAGATACAATATTACAAAAAAAAAACAATCACACATCCAAGCTCGCATCATGATGGGCTTTATAAGCATATAAGTAGACATGGAAAAAACATTTACTCTCCATGATGAATTACACACACAAGCCATTGGAAATGCCGTCTTCCTTAGTCAACGCAGCACGCATTCAATTCAAAAATTATGTTGGATAATGAATGCTTTCCTATTGTATAACATAGGAAGGTGTCAAGGCCTGCGAATACAAACGCAACCGGAAGCTGCCGAAGCTGAGTGATGACGATAAGTGATGACACCGCTTCGTGTTTTGATTTGCGCTGTACCGTCCGCTCAGTGGTGTGGGTTCGTAAATGCATAGATGTTGGTGTGCGTGTTTACTTCCAAGGCTGCAGTTCAATGCTGTCTCGTCACAATCCTTTTGGCGCTGTTAGCTGTCTCTATAAATTCCAAAGAGTGAAGGAGGTCTGTTCAAATGCTAATATAATTTAAAATTAGGTATGTTTCTTTCAAACAATTAATTAATTTAGCTTTATTTAGGAGGCTTTTCTTTCAAACATAAGAAGCATGTTTAAAATAAAAATATTTATTTTTGTTTGCATATTGACAACTATGCGAACAAAAATAAATATTTTTATTTTAAACATGCTTCTTATGTTTGAAAGAAACATACCAAACAGAAATATTCACGTTTATTTTCAACACGAATATTTTTTAAATAAACGTAACATTAATTTTATTTTAACAATAATATTACATGACTTCAAACAACCCTGTTTATTTTTGAAGCCAAAACAACCGGAGTTTACGTTTGAATTTATCTCAGATATTTATGTTTCAACGATGAATTTTTCTGCGTGAATCTTAGAATGCTTTTATTTTGCAAATGGCGTATTTTATTTAAATCTGGTTAGAGCTACGTTAGTAGAAAACTGGAGGACTACTCAATAGACATATAACATAGAAAAATAATTTCTTTTCAGATTTTTAGGTACATACATAGATATCAGCTTTTCTACAACTGTAGCAGCAACCAGATTTAAATAAAATGCTCCATTTGCAAAATAAAAGCATTTTAAGATTGCACTCGTATACCTCTCCATGGAAAATATTGAAACCATCATCACTTGAATGATTTGCGTTATGGGGCTGAACCAATACCATATGCATTTCCATTTAGTATGACAGTCATTCTGCAGACAGCATTACGCATTTCAACTGAAGGCCCTATCCCTTCTCATAACAAGTTTCATCCTGTATTCGAGAGGAAAATCATCTGATTTCAAAACAACCGTCATCCGGTTGCAGCTATCATTCGAAAAAGCGATTTCGGTGTTTTGTTTTGAATGGTCTGAGGTTTCATTCGATCAGAGGATGATGTTTGTGTACATTGTACATCTAATATTTATTGGAAATCCAGCAACCAGATTTAAATAAAATGCTCCACTTACACAAATAGAAGCTTTTTAAGATTGAACTCGTATACCTCACCGTGTGAAATTTTGAAACCATCATCATTTACATAGTTCTTTTATTCTCCACGAGTACCAACTTTGATTAGCCAATTCAAGATAAACATTTCAAAAGGTCCTATCTGACATTTGTAAACAAATTGAGTTTAATGCTTCTCTGTACTGCAGAGCTCACCATCTCTAAGTATTGTTCTAGAAATTTTAATTATCAATATTCAGAAAATTATAAAAATATGTGAAAAAAACGTCCAATTTGACGAGGGGGGCGACTCTATCTACGATGCAGAAAAGATTGTGTTTTGCTGTGGCTAGCTGCACGCACGCTGAGTAAATAGAAGGAAGATTTATGTCGATTTTTAAGGTTTCCTGCAAAAAGATGAAGCGCGATCCAAGTACACAGCAAAAAAAATGTAATATCGATCAACGTAATTCAAGCTGATGTATGAAATAATGATGTAATAGCAAAAAGCAGATACAATATTACATCAATGGATGTAATTTTGTTGGCAAAATCGATGTACATCGTACAATGTGATATTACTCAACCGATGGATTGACCTGGTTGCAGTAGTTTCAATGTAATATTCAACAACTTTTTTTTGCTGTGTAGATGCGAGAAATGAAAGATGATTTTTTGAAGATTGATTCGCTAGTGTGAGATTTTTTGAGCATCTAGAATAGAGCATTTTATGAGACGTTTCTGGTTCAACTCATGAATGAACTTTGACAGGAGGCGGTTACCTTACGGCTGTGAGAAGCAATATCAGTATCATCAAATTCTGGCAGGCAAACCAGCTCCTGTCATTTCATAAAATGGACTATTGAGATTTAGATGTGTCGCCCCCCTCACAATTTGAAAGTTTTTATAATATCGCACAGCTCTCTGATTGGACCTTAAACATGTTTACAGTCCAATCTATCATTCAACCAAAAAAAAAATGACAAATGCTATTAGGACCTTTGTTTCATCTTGTGTTTCACGTGGAATAGAAAAACTAAAACTCATAATAGTTAGTTGGAAATGCTATACTAATATCAACATGAAGCTTTAGAAAGTCCTATGGATGCAACATCTAACCACAAACGAAGTGACAGACGACTAACAGCCGAAGAAATCCATTAAAATAATGTGGTTCACTGTAATAGAATGTGCTAACCAGATGGGTTAGTTTTTTTGTTTTGAATCGAACAAAGTTGATTTTGTGTACAATGATTCTTTGACAGTGTGCAAAGAGTGTCCCGCATAAACAATAACCATAAGAAGCGCCTAACCACCAATTCGGGATAACATCCCAACTTTATATGTTATGGTCGTACCATCTATGATATCGTTAGTATATGGTACCCGTTTATTAGGGGTATCATTAATTTTGTCATTTTTTTTATGCATTTCAGTTTTGAGTAGAGTGAAAGAGATAGAACCAAAACATTCTAATGCATTTGGTGAAAATGCTAGTACAATCCAGTAGTAGTGTTGCCATGTGGTACAATCTAGTAGTAGTGGTGTTGCCATGTGGTACACTGAAAAATTGAAATAGCAGGTTGGGCACCAAAGTTTTTGAGCCGCTCCGTCTGTCACTTCGTTTGTGATCTAACTGGGAAGTGGGATATGAGAAAGTTTCATTTACGATGCCTGTAATCA